TCAGGTGACGTAGTGAGAAGCATGATGGCACCTTATCTTGGTAAGGGGCATACATTATCTACTGATAACTGGTACACAAGCCCTTTACTCAGTGATTTCTTGTGAGTGAACATGACAGATGTGTGTGGCACAGTGCGTTCTAATCGTAAACATATGCCCAGGTTCAACGCTGGCACTCGTGGTGAAGAGGTGCAGGTGTTTACTGCCAATGACATCATGGCATTATGGTGGCATGACAAACGAGATGTCACATTGTTGACAACCATTCACCGTAACAAAATGCAAGACAGTCGCAAAGTTAATGGAGTGGCTAATGAACATATTCGAAAACCAGTGACAGTGATTGATTATACACAAAACATGCACTTGGTTGACAAATGTGACATGCAGATTGGTTTTGTTGACTGTGTTCGTAAGAGTTACAAGTGGTACATGAAACTTTTCTTCCATCTCATGGAAATTTCAATGCTCAATGCATATAATATGTACTAAGTGAAGACTGGCAACAGACCACCGTATGGTGAATTTGGTTTGTCTGTTGTCAGACAACTCATAATGAAATACCAGGTAACAACACCTGCTATACAAAACCATCCTCGAACTCCTCAGGATATACCCAAGCGTTCGAGGAGGGAAGGTGATCACTTCATAATACAGCTTCCTGCAACTAAGAAGAAATTTGCTCAGAAGAGATGTGTTGTCTGTGCACAAACAAAACGATGGCAACAAAGACGCAAAGACACTCGGTTTATGTGTGAGGAATGTAAGGTGCCTCTGTGCATGGTGCCTTGTTTCAAGGAGTTCCACAAGCTCCAGCAGTTCTAAAACCATGTCCAGTGATTGTAAATATGTAAATATACGATAGAACATTAGTATTATACAATATTTGTGCATGTTTATTGTAATAAACAACAGTGGTAAACAATATTATAATAACTTTAGTGCGGTTATTGTGTTCAATACAATGAGTTTATACATATACATTATATACAATATTGGTCTCACAGGCCACAAATGTTATTAGAAAAAGAAAAAATTAGAAAAGAAAAGAAAAAAGTATAAAAAAGCGTAAAATAAAGAAATGCGAGTTTGCGGAAATCGCCAATGTTGCTGCCACCCGGTCATTTTGGGTCAACTTCTCACCTCTGTATCTCAGTAAGTACTGATCAGAATTTTTTTTTTGTTTTATTACCTTCACAAAAATATTATCTTTAATTCTGTAAGATTTTTTTTTTTTTTTTCAAAATTTCTTGGACACTGGGGCACCCCTTCCGATTTTGGCCTTGGACCCTGAAAGGGTTAAGCAGTCTCCAAGACTACATATTTTGTCTATAAATTTGTACTTTATTGTGCACCCCATAGTACAAGATAGAGTTAGAAGCGCAGCAGCGCTTGGAAGAAGACAAGAATGGAAGAAGTACAAAAGAAATTCACTGTAAAGGGGTTAGCTGGTGTGTTCGTATGTGTGTTTGCATTCTCGGCATATCCCGGCGTCTCTCGTGGCATCTGAGAAATGATTAAACTCGGTGGACAAGGTATGTTGATGGTAATAATAACAATGGCTATGGAACGCTGTGAATGTCACATATTCTGTATAGGTTTGGTAGGTGGCCCAGCTATCAAACCTACACAATACTGTGACTGGAACAGTACATAAATAACCTGCACATAGCAGACCATTAACTAGTCCTAATAGTGTGACATAGACCATTAACTAGTGTGACCAGTTAATGGTTCATTAGGGTCAAAACACCATCGGAAGTTTCGCATGCGAGTTATTTGAGTATCACTAGATGTTTTCTTACCTAACAAGCCTAGTAACTGGGAGACAGTACAGGTGCTCCTCGACTTACGATGGGGTTACATTCTGACGAACTCTTTGTAAGTTGAAAATATTGTAAGTCTAATGTATATACAGTAGAACCCCTGTATCCACGGGAGATGCATTCCAAGGACCTGCCATGGATACCGAAACTGCAAATAGTAGCAAACCCTATACAGCCTCTCTTCACTTAGTGACGTACTCGTTTACCGACAACTTGGACTTACGATGGGCTCTGACCAGTATGCACACCTTAATAATGTATATTATAAATGTATATTTTAAGTGGTGCGAAAGTGACATTAAAACAATATCAAAGATGGTTGACACAAACCCACTTCCATTATAGTATGCTCCTCACTTAACAACGAATGTGGTCTGGGAACGGAACTCTGTCGTTAATTGAGGAGAGGCTGTATGTAAGTCCTATACATACCTATTATAAAGTTTAATTGATAAATTATGCATATAAGTGGAGAATTATCACTTTTTCAGTGATGGGAAGCACTTCACAGCTTCTCTTAGGCTTTGAAGAAATGTCAGCTTTTATACATACTATTTCACTTTGGGGCCGTTATGATGCAAAAATAAAAGGTATTTTTGGGCCACAGTACACCGTAGATAACTGAAACCGTCAATACCAAATCAGTGAATACTAGGGTTCTACTTCCCGGTAAAAGTAGGTCTTAGACAGGGATGTGTAATGTCACCATGGTTGTTTAATATGTTTATAGATGGGGTTGTAAAAGAAGTAAATGCTAGGGTGTTCGGGAGAGGGGTGGGATTAAATTATGGGGAATTAAATACAAAATGGGAAGTGACACAGTTATTTTTTGCTGATGATACTGTGCTTATGGGAGATTCTAAAGAAAAATTGCAAAGGTTAGTGGATGGATTTGGGAGTGTGTGTAAAGGTAGAAAGTTGAAAGTGAACATAGAAAAGAGTAAGGTGATGAGGGTATCAAATGATTTAGATAAAAGAAAAATTGGATATCAAATTGGGGAGGAGGAGTATGGAAGAAGTGAATGTTTTCAGATACTTGGGAGTTGACGTGTCGGCAGATGGATTTATGAAGGATGAGGTTAATCATAGAATTCTGATGAAAGAAAAAAGGTGAGTGGTACATTGAGGTATATGTGAAGGCAAAAAATGTTATCTATGGAGGCAAAGAAGGGAATGTATGGGTGTGAAGCTTGGGTTGTAAATGCTGCAGCGAGGAGACGGTTGGAGGCGGTGGAGATGTCCTGTCTAAGGGCAATGTGTGGTGTAAATATTATGCAGAGAATTCGGAGTGTGCAAATTAGGAGAAGGTGTGGAGTTAATAAAAGTATTAGTCAGAGGGCTGAAGAGGGGTTGTTGAGGTGGTTTGGTCATTCAGAGAGAATGGATCAAAGTAGAATGACATGGAGAGTGTATAAATCTGTAGGGGAAAGAAGGCGGGGTAGGGGTCGTCCTCGAAAAGGTTGGAAGGAAGGGGTAAGGTAAGTTTTGTGGGCGAGGGGCTTGGACTTCCAGCAGGCGTGCATGATCGTGTTCAATAGGAGTGAATGGAGACAAATGGTATTTAGGACCTGACGATCTGTTGGAGTGTGAGCAGGGTAATATTTAGTGAAGGGATTCAGGGAAACTGGTTATTTTATATAACTGGACTTGAGTCCTGGAAATGGGAAGTACAATGCCTGCACTCTAAAGGAGAGGTTCGGGATATTAGCAGTTTGGAGGGATATGTTGTGTATCTTTATCCGTATATACTTCTAAACTGTTGTGTTCTGAGCACCTCTGCAAAAACAGTGATTATATGTAAGTGAGGTGAAAGTGTTGAAGGATGATGAAAGTATTTTCTTTTTGGGGATTTTCTTTCTTTTTGGGTCACCCTGCCTCGGTGGGAGACGGCCGACTTGTTAAAAGAAAAAAAGAAAAAAACATAAATTACTGTCACTGAATAAGTAAATAAACAATTACTGTAACTAACTAAATGCATACCAGCATTGAAAAGTAAATGTATACCTATATACCAAGTTTATCCTATCAAAAAAATGTTTTACGGTTTTGTCGCACCATCATAGTCGAAATTTTGTAAGTCGAACCATTGTAAAGCAAGGATCATCTGTACAAAGAAAACAACCTAACATGAATAGTCAGTTGAAGGGAGAGTTACGATGCTCAAGTTACTTTGACTAAAGTTACAAGACTCCAGTTAATTTGACTAATCTGCCCGAAATGCTCATACATGCTAGTGGCTTTCTTTGTGTGTAACTATATTTTTTGAATTTGAATATAATAGGGACATCTGAACTGTAAATTTGGCACATCTCTGGCAAGACGGTGGTGGCTCAAGTGAAAGTGTTTCTTCTTTTCGGGTCACCCTGCCTCGGTGGAAGACGGCCAATGTGTTAAAAGAATATTTAATACAGTGATCAGTAATAACCCATGCAGAGACAAAAACTCAGAAGATAAATTGATCTGTAAATTTTGTCCCCCTTCTGGGGTCCTCTTCAGCCGATGAGGATCCCAAGAGGGGAGCAAAATATACAGATCAATTAGTGTACTGAGTTTTTATTAAGCATTGACAAGTGTTTGTTACACTTCACTCATTAACTAAAGTGCTTAAACGAACACTTCTTAACGTTTCGTCTTGTAAATACAGAAACACTCGTCATTTACTAAGTTGCAAGGATGAGTTGCGATGGTTATGCTGCTTGCAGGTCACTACCACCAGTGGTTGACCAGGCAGTCACCGACATAGCCTGGGTTGGGGGCAGTGTGTGAGAGAAGAAGAGCTCTCCAAGCCAGTCACAGGTACAGCTTTATCAACTTCTGGTAAAGCTTTATCAAGTTATGGTAGAGCTTTATCAAGTTCTGGTAGAGCTTTATCAAGTTCTGGTAGAGCTTTATCAAGTTCTGGTAGAGCTTTATCAATTTATGATAGAACTTCGTCAATTTATAAAGCTCTACATAAAGCATATTTCTGCCTCAATCATTGCTTGTTCTAGAACACAATTTTCTCTTCATACTCATCGGTAATACACCACAAGTCATCCAAGAAAAACATTATTTTGGTACCAAGCTGCCTATGTTATCCATCGCTTAAATGATAATGTAATGGTATTGATTATTGTCATCTGTCACCACGACGCTCATATTCTTAAGTGTTTTCTCATGTTTTCCAACTTGCAGAACTGTTATGAAGGAACCTAAAGTTGAACAAGCAGTGAGAGCCGAAGCTGTGGCCGTGGAAACGAACAGTCCGTGGGAAGGCTCCCAGGAGGAGGCAGAGTCGAGGGAGAGTGTGGCATCGACCACCGTCATTAGGACAAGATTCAGTACTCTTCCCAAGACTGGAAGAAGTCGACACAAGGCGCCACATAACAAGTCAAAACATGTCTATAAAGAATTCTTGAACGTATTGAAGGACATATTCAGTAAAATAAAGACCAAAAACGTAGAAAGTTGCCCTAAGGTTCTGGAAGCTGCTCTTGAAATGGTACTGTCCCAAAAATTTCCAGTGGAGAAAGTGTCAGTATTCCATTGTATATCCATCAGTAGACTTGAAAGAAACGTGGTGTCTCTTTCTAAACTGGCTGGAAGATCAGGTACAAGTGTGTTTTGCAGGGCATTAAGAGACATTGTATGCATTACAGATGATGAAAAATTCTTTGAGTGGATGTTGCGCATGAGGAGAATGGGGCGTCCCCCGGTCATGAGTGACACGCACTATGTTAAGGAGTACCTCGGTCTCTCGTACTACCCAAGAGGTGTTTGCGAGTTTATTGAAGTATTTGGGGAGAAAATTGATTGCTTTCAAAATTGGTGTACTCTTACTAATGAGAGTATGTTAAAATGGGCAAATTTTTTTAACAATTTCCTCAGAATTCATTATGAAATAACAGCAAAGAAATTCATGGTTAGAAAAAATTCATCTCGCATCTTCAGTTGCGTTATGTTGTACCTCTCGCACACACACATCAACAACCAGGTCATTATTTTCAGAGGACATAGGAACACGTACAGCTTTGTGTCCCCTAGTCAGAAAGGCGTTAACGTGTTGGTAACATTCTCTGCTGCAGGGTTCTACTTGAAGCCCTTATTTCTGCAGCAAAAATATGATATGCCAGTATGGGCAGATCAGGAATTTGTCGACCAGTCACAGTTTCATATTGGTGCTACTGCAGACGGGCAGTTAGATCCCTTACTGTTTGTTACATGGTTGAAGCTTTTCAATGCTGAACTTTTAGAAAATAATATTGAGAAACCAGTGTTGCTGTTCCTCCATGGTCATCCGTGTCATGCAAGCCTGGCAGCCACCACCTTCTGCCAGGAAGAAAACATAATTCTGTTTTCTCATTATCACAGTCCACTTAACATTATGGACCCTTTTTTGGGAATAATGAACAACTTCAGCTTACATTATGAAAGAAGTATAAGAAACTTTCAAAATTACATTGGAAAGGACAATCTCACACTGAAATATTTACCAGTAATATTTCTTGATGCTTTGATTAAAATCAGTGAAGATCATGTTATGGATGCCTTTAAGAAGAGCGGCCTTGTTCCTTTTGACGTGTCTGTTGTCCGTGAAAGCATTGATACCAATCGTGTACACAATTCGACTTCCACGTTATATCCGCTGTGTGGTACTTGGGTTTCTCACTCGCCTTCCAATACCAAAAAATGTAATTTTGAGTTTGCACCTCAGATTCAGCTGCCTTACAAGCGTCAACAGCTAGTTGTAAGTGAACCTCATGTAAATATAATTGAACCTTCTGCCGATAAGGCTTTTTTGTTTGCAAGTAATGATCCATTACAAGTTTCCTTTGAACCTTTACTGCAGAGCAGCCTAGATAATAACAGTTTTGTTCATGTGTATAGAAAGTGTGTGCAAGATGAAGAAATAATTGCAAATACAGCAAGTAATGGGATCAGTGAAGAATTGATGGAACAAGTTGAGATTAAGGATGAAATTAACACTGTGAAGAGTCAAGAGACAGTGGATAGTTCCTCATGTTCTCAGCTTGTGGCTCCACCTCGGGACGGTAGTGTGACAAGATGGACTGCAGGACAAAGCTCCTGTAAATTTTATGATCAAACCACAAGTCAGGAAATGTTGCCTGGTCAGTCTTATGAATCTCTTGGACTGTATGATGTAAAGATAGAGAGTTGCAAAATAGAAAGCCCCAAGTCTGACGATATTGAATTTCCAATTGTGTACATAGCAAGTGATTCTCCCGTGGATGACTATCTCTCATCCAAGCCATAGTGTAAGTGTGGGGGAGGAGGTAATGTTAAGAAGACTGTGCAGGACCAGACAGTAGCAGTTGTCCCTAGATGTGAAAATGCAAGAATATTGTGTGTGACATCAGTGCATCAGGCTTCTGTGATCTCAGTGTGCAGCAAACTGATGAGTGTGTCATGATCTCTTATTTCCCTTGAGAAATGTACAAGTGTGAATATTTGACTTAGTTCTCAGATTAAAGCATCATTAACACTGATGTAATGTGACAAACCAGTCCCATAGAAATGGGAACAAAGAATAAAGCAAGGAATAAAAATACTCCATTCCCCAAGGCACTGTCCTGGCACCTGTGCTGTTTCTTACCCTCATAGCAAACATAGATGAAAACACCCACCACAGTTTTGCATTATTTGCAGATGACACCAAAATAAGCATGAAAGTGACTATGGTACAAGACACTGAAAAATTACAGGAAGATATAAGCAGTGTTTTCCAGTGGGTAGTGAAGAACAACATGATGTTCAGTGGTGATAAGTTCCAGTTACTTAGGTATGGAAAGAATGAAGAACTCAAAAGGAACACCATATACAAAACTCAAGAGGATTATCAAATAGAATGAAAGGAAAACATGAAAGACTTGGGAATAATTATGTCAGCTGACCTTACTTTCAAGGAACACAATAAGACAAAGGTCATGACAGCCAGGAGAATAATGGGGTGGGTATTGAGAACCTTCAAAACAAGGGAAAATAATGCCAGTGGTGACATTTCAAAACACTAGTGTGCCCTCATTTGGAATATTACTCATTGTTGACAGCCCTTTTCAAGGCAGGAGAAATATCAGAGCTGGAACAAATACGGTGATTGTTTATGGTCTCGCATAGAGCCAGTACTCACTGGAGCAGAGGAGAGATGCATGATAATATCTACCTGGGAAATACTCGAGGGCCTGGTCCCAAATCTGCACACTGCCATAACAACATATAGAAATGAGAGATATGGGTGGAAGTGCAGAATAAACCCAGTGAAAAGCAAGGGTGCAGTGGGCACAATAAGAGAACACTGTATCAACATTCGTGGCCCCAGATTATTCAACATCTTACCAGGAGATATCAGAAACACTGCTGGAACAAGTGTAGAAGTATTTTCACCAGGTGCCAGATCAACCAGGCTGTAATGGATGTGTGTGGCAGCTGGTCACCAGCAGTAAGAGCATGATTGACCAGGCAAGCACTAGACGAGCCAGGCTCCAGGAGTAGAAAAACTCAGCTTATCAAAGGTATATCAGAGATATACACAACAGAAATGGGAAGAAAGAGGAAAAAAGACATTTCCGCGACTGGAACAATACACAAATAACTCACACATACGAGAAAGGAACGTGTGACAGTCTGACTTGGACTGAAACGTCTTCATAACTTTTGTGTATATGCGGGTTATTTGTGAAATGGGAACAAAAGACGTGAGAGACCTACACACGTAAAGCTTGGTAGAATTTTTTAAACTGAAGCCGAACTGTGTTGATTTTTCATACCTGTGTTTCGCTTTTCTTCAAAATGGTTCTTACTATCACATTACAGATATGTTACCTAACTTGCCTGGTAACCCTGTGAGACAATACCGTCAAGGTAAATCTATCATGAACAAAGTACTAGAGAAAATTACAAGCTTCTAGTTACTTTCACTCGGTTGTATTAAAAATGTACATACACCTACCATCCGACTTACGACCTGCTTGACTTATGACCACTCGACTTACGACCGTGTTTTTTATGCCAAATTTCTGGGAAATAAACCAGTATTTGTGTTGTACACAGTGTTTATGCTAAACCTTACAGTATAAAATACAGTACTAACAACATAAAAAGTAAAGTAAAACATGAAATACCAAAATAAAACAATAAAATAAAGTCATTACAAAAATGTGATGTTGATATTCAATAGTAAAGTTCGACTTACGACCATTTCGACTTACGACCGGTTTCTCGGAACCGAACTCGGTCGTAAGTCGGATGGTAGGTGTATATAAATAAGCTTTGTGATAATGGTTTATCTCACTTCGTGGAACATCTGAGGAAATATAAAATAAAATCATGTGGACTTTTTGTATATTTTGTCACTTGTTGTTGGTCACTTTTAACCCTTAAACTGTCCAAACATAGATCTACGTTTTTTTTTACATAATGTAAAATCGAACGTAGATCTACGTTTGGACAGAGCGCTACGCATGCAAATGTATATCTACGTTTGGACAGTATAAGGGTTAACAAAAAAGAATTCCGCTCGTGAGATGTGAGCGGTTAAGGCGAACTCGGTATCTGAACTTTCATAAGAAAACTTTGTAAAACACTATGTGTGAGTGTAAAAATAATTGTGCTCTATTTTTACATGCATAAACAATATTGTGAAGTATTTTTAGCAAAAGTGTCTAAATAGGGATGTCGAAGGGCGACCCCCAATCCACATTGGAAATATTTTGGGGCAACAGATTAAAATGTAAATGTAATAAAAATATTTTTCACCTGCTTAACCAAATAAAGACATGACCTGACAGGTTTAGTGCTTTGTTGTAAACTTTATACTAAGGAATAAAATTGAATCTTTTCAGTATGGATTGCCGAGATGTACACTAGCCCAAGGCACGACTCTGTGGAAAGACTAAACGCATATTCAGTACACGTATATTGAAATTTTTTATGGACTGTATTTCAACCCCACAGTGAGCTTTATTCAGTTTGTGACTATAAAGCCCACTCTGTGGGCAAAACATGAAGGATAGCATTATACAGTGGATCGTCAGCTAACGATATTAATCTGTTCCTGAAAGCTCATCGTATGCTGAAATTATCGTTAGCTGAATTAATTTTCCCCATAAGAAATAATGGAAATTAAATTAATCTGTGCAAGACACCACAAAGTATGAAAAAAAAAAATTTTTACCACATGAAATATTAATTTTAATACACACAAACTGACACCTTTATTGAAGATCTGGTGATGATTGATGGGATGGGAGGAGGGGAGAGTATGGAAGTTGTTAATGTTTAGAAGGGGAATCCCCTTCCATTAGGACTTTAGGTAGCACGTCCTTTTCTGGGGTTACTTCCCTTCTTCTTTTAATGCCACTAGGACCAGCTGACCGTGGTGCAGCAGCAGCTGACTATGGTGCAACAGCAGCTGACCGTGGTGCAACAGCAGCTGACCGTGGTGCAGCAACAGTTGACCGTGGTGCAGCAACAGTTGACCGTGGTGCAGTAACAGCCGACTGTGGTGCAGCAGCAGCTGACTGTGGTACAATAGTACATATTTCTCACCCTATTTACCAGAGGGTTGGCACTAGAAGCTTTCTTTGGGCCCATGGCTTATTTAGCAGTTACAAGCACTATAAACAATGGAATAATACAAAATGTATTGAATGTATGCATGCAACCGGCCACCCTGGCTTGTAAACAATGACGGCAGGGCTGGATGGACAGGTTCGGGACGAGTCATGTTGGTCAGAAACAGCTGATGGTGGTGCAGCAGCAGCTGACTGTGGTGCAGCAGCAGCTGACCGTGGTGCAGCAGCAGCTCACCATGGTGCAGCAGCAGCTCACCGTGATTCAGCAACAGCTGACTGGTGCAGCAACAGCTGACCGTGGTGCAGCAACAGCTGACGGTGGTGTAGCAGCAGCTGACTGTGGTGCAGCAGCAGCTGACTGTGGTGCAACAGCAGCTGACCATGGTTCAGTAACAGCTGACTGGTGCAGCAACAGCTGAATGTGGTTCAGCAACAGCTGACTGTGGTTCAGCAGCAGCTGACCGTGGTTCAGCAGCAGCTGACCGTGGTGTGGCAGCAGCTGACTGTGGTGCAACAGCAGCTGACTGGTGCAGCAGCAGCTGACCATGGTGCAGCAGCAGCTGACCATGGTGCGATAGTACGTATTTCCCACCCTTTTTACATATGATCGCTTGAGAGATGGTATCTTTGGTTTGGTATACAACCTGGCCAGCTCCGGGACACTCACTCAACTTTTGTACTTGGCAATTATCTCTTTCTTCATTTCCATAGTAATTTTCACCTTTTTTACCACACGGTTGGCACTAGAAGCTTTCTTGGGGCCCATGGTGACTTATTTTGCAGGTACAATCACTAAAAACGCTGTGATAATATGAAATGTTCCGATTGTATGCGTGGATGCGACCGCACTGGCTGGCTTGTAAACACTGGCACCCATGGGACAACTGAGGCACGCTCAGGCCACACGTGGACGCGTCTCGAACGAATCACGTAGAGTGAGTTTTTTAGCGTTAGCAGAGGCAAAATTTTTGCGTTAAAATGTATCGTATGCTGGATTTAACGTTAGGTGATGCCATCGTTAGCTGAGGGTCCACTGTATTGTATTTGTGTCAAATTTTTCTGTTGTATCTGTATTTTACACTTTTTATCTCCATCCACCATGACTGTATGCAAATAAGGCTGCTTCCCACTTTGTCTTTAGAGATTTCTTGTCGGAGAGGCACTTCTGTCTCTGGTTTATAATACACAGATAACCCGCACATAGGAGCTTACAACGGCATTTCGGTCCAACTTGGACCATTTACAAAGTCATACTGACAGAAAGGAGAGGAGGAGGGAGTATATATAGGCCAGCAGACAGAGACAGGACAAAAGAGGTAGTAGGAAAGGAAGAAGTCCAAGTCGGTCTGAAATGTCATAAGCTCCTCTCTCCTATGTGCAGGTTATTTGTGTATTGTTCCAGTCACGGCATTGTGTCTTTTTGTTATTTCTGGTTTATAATAATTTTTAGCTTGGCTTAGTGCTGGTTGAAGGTGTATCTCAAGGCTGTGTTCTCAGCACTACCTTCCTACTCTCCATTAATGATCTTAACTCTGTTTTCACTTCCAATGTTTTGTTATCTCTATATCATCTCTTGTCCTATAGCTTGTTCAGACGGTGACTCTCAAAATGTAGTGACGTTCAGTATGACTTTGATCATGCTGCCAATTGGGCCACTCTCATGTGTTTATATTTTCTGTTGCTAATGGTATCCTTCATACCATTCTTGGTCTTGTGTTTGATTGTCGAATGTCCTGGAAGCCTTGTGTGACCTCCCTTAAAGCTCCATGTTATTGTTGCCTGAACCTCCTTGAAACTCCAGCTCTTTTTAACCTTAATTCAGTCCTAATCTTATCTAGACTACTGATACCAACTATATTCTTCAGCCTCTACTGGTATTCTTTCTAAGGATTATGATTGTGTCTTTGGACTTTCCAATTTTCCACAGTCGAGAGCCTATACAGAGGCAAACATCTGGTCTTTGCAAGATTGACACTGCCCATTATCTCCGTTGTCTAGTCTGCTTCTTCAACCTTCACAGTTCTTCCACTTATAAAATAGTAACATACACTAGAAGACTGATTTATTTAATCATCGCTTCCATTTATTGCGCCCCATTCCTCTCTGTATTTATCCTCTAATTTGTTCTGTTAATTTCCGTCCCCATTACGTTCAACAAGCATCTTTTCCTCCCCTTTGTTGTGAAGTTTCAACAATTCACATTTGTTCCTCCCCACTTTCATGTTCAAAGTTCATTTGCCTGTTCATTCCTGTCTCATTCTCATGTTGTTGCAGTGTATATTTATGGTTGTAAATCTCCTGATGATGTCAGATATGCAGCTGTTTTTTTCCCAAAAGAATAACCCATGTGCAACATTTGTGCCACGTTAAATTTTAATGCATCTGATAGTGTCATCTTGCCAGAATGTCCTATCACCTGTGCCCAAAGTAGAGAGAGAGAGAGAGAGAGAGAGAGAGAGAGAGAGAGAGAGAGAATTCTGCAACATGTTTAAAACATGCTTTTCTGGCTGGGTGATTGACTGACTGTGCTTGGCTGACTGACTGACTGACTTTGGATAGCTCTGTCTCTCTCAGTCTTCCTGTCTCTCAGAGAGAGCCACTCATGAACCAGAATCAAGGACTAAGTAAGTTTATTTAGGCACAGGTACACATAAGTACAGTCATCATACATAGCGTAAATTACCTAGGATAACCCCAAAAAAGCCAGACAAAGTGCTATACTGTGCTTGTATATATGAGGCATAAGCATGAATGTGGCAAAGAATACGCATTTCCACTTGTTCAGACGTGACAGTTCTGTGATGTGTAATACCTCTTGGTTAATGAGCAGAGAGAGAGAGAGACAGACGTGCTTATGTGTGTGGTCTTATATCTCGGTAGGTAATGACCCTAAAAAATTTTTTTTTTGGTCTCGTTACACACAGAATATTACCCTCTCTAATTAATAGAAAAAGTAAAAATATTTGAAGTGCTAGCAGTGAAAATGTACGTCTACATTTGGACAGTTAAATTGTTAACGTAATCTTCGGCCTCTAAAACGCTGGGTAAATTTTTGAGACGTATTTTAGTGAAAAAAAAAAAAGTATTTGCACCATAAAGTATGGTATGTTGTATTTCTAGTGAACATGAAAGTCATTTTCTTGCCCATGTTCAGAACAACGAACAAGTAGACTCAGCGCCTGAATCAGCTGTTTGGTAACTCCCAGTTTCCCACAGGGTCTTCCTTTTTCGGAGTATTTTTCAGGGCTGTCTCAACACAACAGCTGACAACAACTTTGGCCTGAGTTGGTCCACTAAAAATGATTTTCTACCAGGTCACATATAGGTTTGTGGCCATCTTCCACCCACTGTGTGGGAAACTGCTCTCTCACATTTATGTACCAGACACATGTTTAAAAACAGTTTTAAAAACAGTTTAAAAACTGTAGTGTAAAGCACCCTTCTGGCAAGACAGTGATGGAGTGAATGATGGTGAAAGTTTTTCTTTTTCGGGCCACCCTGCCTTGGTGGGAATCGGCCAGTGTGATAATAATAAATAATTAATTATTGTCGCTTATCTCCTGGAAATTCATATTCTAAATTTGTTTTTCTTGTTTTCCAACTTACAGAGATGTTACAGTACTGGAAACTAAAGTTGAAGAAGAAGTGAGAGATGAAGCTGGAAATATTGGAACTGATATTCAAAGGGAGGGTTGCCTGGAAGCAGAGACGAGTTCCTGTTTAATGGCACCTACCATCATTAGGAAAGAAATTAGCATATTCCTAAAGAAAACAGGTGCAAACCAAGAAGTGAGAGATGAAGCTGGAAATATTGGAACTGATATTCAGAGAGAAGCTTGCCTGGAAGCAGAGACGAGTTCTATTAAAAAAGAAATTGGAATATTCCTAGATAAGACAGGACCAAAGGAAAATATGATGGCACTGCATAAGTCAGAGTGTTTCAGAAAGAAATTGTTAAAAGTAATGAAGGAAATATTCAATAAAATGAAGAATAAAAACATTGAAAGCTGCCCTCGTGTTCTGGAAGTCGCACTTGAAACATTACTCTCCCATAAAATGTCGTTAGATCAAGTTTCAAAATTCTTTTGCATATCCATCAGTAGACTTGAAAGAAACCTGATGTTATTGGCTAAAGTAATTTTAAGTCAAAATATGTGTGTGTTTAGCGAGGCAGTTTTTCATGATGTTACTGATGACGACAGATTCTTTGAGTGGATGTTGCGTATGAGGAGAATGGGGCGTCTCCCCATCATGACTGACATGTTCTACATTAAGGAGTACCTCAATCTCTCATATTTCCCAGTAGGTATAATGGATTTTTTGGAAATGTTCGGCGAGAAAGTTGTTGACTTTATAAAAAAGAGTCCAGTTACTAGCAATGATATTAAAATCTGGAAGAGTGTGTTGACAAAATGCCTCTTGGGTCATTATGGAATAATAGCAAAGAATTTCTTGGTAAGGAGAAACTCACCTCGCATCTTCAATTGTGTTCAGATGTACCTCTCGCACACTCACGTCAGCAACCAGGTCGTTAGCTTCCGAGGAAGTAAAAACATGTACAGCTTTGTTTCACCACGTCAGAAAGGCGTTAGTGTGATGGTGACATTCTCTGCTGCAGGCTTCTATTTAAAACCTTTATTTATGCACAAAAATTATGATATGCCACTATGGTCGTATCAGGAATTTGTCGACCAGTCGCAGTTTCACATTGGTGCTACTGTAGATGGGCATTTAGATCCCTTACTGTTTGTGACATGGTTACGGCTTTTCAATGCTGAACTTTTAGAAAATAATATTGAGAAACCAGTGTTGCTGTTCCTCCATGGTCATCCGTGTCATGCAAGCCTGGCAGCCACCACCTTCTGCCAGGAAGAAAACATAATTCTGTTTTCTCATTGTCACAGTCCACTTAACACTATGGACCCTTTCTTGGGAATAGTAGACAAATTTCACTTCTTCTATGATAGAAGCTTAAATAACTTTCGGAACTACGTTGGAAAGGACAACCTCACACTGAAATTTTTTCCTGTAATATTTTTTGATGCTTGGAATAAAATAAAAGAAGGGGACCTTGCCATCGAGGCATTCGAGAAGAGCGGCCTTGTTCCGTTTGACATGTCTGTTGTCCATGAAAATATTAACCATGATCATGTGTATTCTCTGAGCTCAACTTCAGTGTCAGATTCCCCTTTTCTCGGCAAGTGGGTAACATGCTTACAATCCAGTACTAAAACATTAGAATTTGCATCTCAGATTCAGCTGCCTTACAAGCGTCAACAGCCAGTTGTAAGTGAACCTCATGTAAGTGTAAATGAACCTTCTGCCGATAAGGCAAGTAATGATCCATTACAAGTTTCCTTTGAACCTTTACTGCAGAACAGCCTAGATAATAACAGTTTTGTTCATGTGTATAGAAAGTGTGTGCAAGATGAAGAAATGATTGCAAATACAGCAAGTAATGGGATCAGTGAAGAATTGATGGAACAAGTTGAGATTATGGATGAAATTGACACTGTAAAGAGTCAAGAGACAGTGGATAGTTCCTCATGTTCTCAGCTTGTGGCTCCACCTCGGGACGGTAGTGTGACAAGATGGACTGCAGGACAAAGCTCCTGTAAATTTTATGATCAAACCACAAGTCAGGAAATGTTGCCTGGTCAGTCTTATGAATCTCTTGGACTGTATGATGTAAAGATAGAGAGTTGCAAAATAGAAAGCCCCAAGTCTGACGATATTGAATTTCCAATTGTGTACATAGCAAGTGATTCTCCCGTGGATGACTATCTCTCATCCAAGCCATAGTGTAAGTGTGGGGGAGGAGGTAATGTTAAGAAGACTGTGCAGGACCAGACAGTAGCAGTTGTCCCTAGATGTGAAAATGCAAGAATATTGCATGTGACATCATTTTTCCAAGCCTCTGTGAACTCCAGGAGCAACAAACTGAAGAGGAGTGTGGCATGGTCTCTCAATCTCCTCGAGAAATGTACAAGTCTCCCATTTCAGTCAGTATTCTACTGAGGGCTAAGATTAAAACATCACACACAAATAACCCGCACATAAAAGAGAGAAGCTTACGACGACGTTTCGGTCCGACTTGGACCATTGACAAAATCACACTAACAGAGGTGGAGCAGGACGGCTATATATAGGCAGGAAGAGGTGGAGGTAGTAGTAGTAGTGGTAGTAGTAGTACAAGTCGGACCGAAACGTCGTCGTAAGCTTCTCTCTTTTATGTGCGGGTTATTTGTGTATCGTTCCAGTCACGGTATTGTGCCTTTTTGTTATTTATTAAAACATCATTAACACATGCAGTGTGACAAAGCACAAACATACAAATGGGGACAAATAAAGACAATACTGTGACTGGAACAATACACAAATAACCCACACATAGGAGAGAGGAACTTATGACGACATTTTGGCCCAAGTCAGACCAAAACATCATCATGACTCTTTTCTATATAGTTTTTTCTTTTTTTGTGAAATGGGAACAAATGATGCGAGAGATCTATATACAGTGTTGAACCCAGTCGAAGAGTGTTTTAACCCGTAAACGGTCCAAGCAGATCTACGTTCACACGTGTAGCGCTACAAAAGTAGATCTATGTTTTTTTTACATATTTTCAAATATAAGAAAAAAAAAAAGTAGATCAACGTTTTTTTACACATTTTCAAATGTAAAAAAAAACGTATATATACGTTTGGACCGTTTACGGGTTAAACTACAGCTGAAATATAGATTTTTTTTCTCTACCAATGTTTCACATTTGTTCAAATTGGTTCTGACTATTCCACCACAGATATGTTACCTAACTTACCCAGTAATCCTGTGAGACAATACCATCAAGGAAGATCTACCATAAACAAAGTACAAGAGAAAGTTACAAGTTTCCCGTTACTTTCACTCAGTTGTATTTAACCCTTAAACGGTCCAAACAAATCGACGTTCAAATTCGTTGCTACAAAAATAGATCTACTTTTTTTTACATATTTTCAAATATAACAAAAAAAATGTAGATAAAAGTTTTTTTTTACAAGTTTTCAAATGTAAAAAAACAAAAAGAAGATCTGCTTTTTTTACATACTTTCAGATGTTGAAAAAACGTATATATACGTTTGGACCGTTTAAGGGTTAAAGTGTACATATATAAATATTCTTTGTGATGATTGTTTATCTCACTTGATGGAACATCTAAGGAAATATGAAATAAAGTCCTGTGAAATTTTTGTGTATTTTGTCACTGTTTGTTGGTCATTTTTAATAAAGAATTAAGCTCAGATGTTGCGGGTAGTAGCGGCAAACTCAGTATCCGAACTTTCGTAAGGAAAAAGTCCTAAAATAAAAATAATAATCTTTTTCCGAAGGTAATGAAACCAAAAGTACGAAATTTGATAGAAAACTTATGGAACTACACAAAACGGTTTTGGCGAAGTTTCCACATCTCCCATTTTGAGCCAATTCCATTGTTCTAGTCTACCAAACTCATAGCTGTCTCACTAGTATTCCTTTTATTCTTTCGCTTGAGTACTAGAAACCTCCCATTTTGGTAATTTTTCCAATTTCACTCACAATTCAAACATTGCCAGTTTAAAAATAGGGTCCAGAATAAACAATGCAGACATTTCTGGCACTAAAAAAAAAAAAAAATTCGTCTGTTCATTAGTTACATCCCCTGGCCTCTCTTACGTTTGCTATCCATTTTGAATTTTTATTCACAAAAAACAAGATTTACTGTTATGCAGACAATTGTAATAATTGTATAAATTTCAGTGTATTCCTAAATGTGTACATATTAAACTGGCAAGCTGGACGCATATTGGACAAGTGACGTCATTTGTGTACTCTGGAATATCGCCGAAAATCGAACAATTTCAAGCTACTTTCAGGCCGGAAACCAATCAAAATCATCTCTATTTCTGTAATATATCTGCCATTCTGTCAAATGAGACCAAGAAACCAAGAGTAAACCATTAAAACCATGAGAAAATACACAAAGTTGCTGTTTTAAGCCAAAAACATGGTCAGTTTTTTTTTCCATTATTCACAGCTTGCTGCAGGATTTTTTTTTTTATATGGGGCACACTTGCTGCATAGACTCATTTTCTCATATCTAGGCCCAAATTTACCACTCACAGCTTATCCGAGTGAGCTAAGCTCATGGTGTAGAACTATGGGACTGACCCTGGCTTCACACTACAACTATGGGACTGACTCTGGCTTCACAGTACAACTACGGGACTGACCCTGGCTTCACAGTACAACTACGGGACTGACCCTGGCTTCACAGTACAACTACGGGACTGACCCTGGCTTCACAGTACAACTGCAGGACTGACCCTGGCTTCACAGTACAACTATGGGACTGACCCTGGCTTCACGGCAGAAGTACGGGACTGACCCTGAAAGGGTTAAATGTTCCGTTGTTAGAACACATGGGATAACTTTCACAAGACTCATTATCCCTCATACCATAATATGCCTTCATGGTGACCCAACAGATGT